CCTTTGAAAAGTCATTTTAAAACTTTAACCCCAGGTCAAGGTCATGACCTGACCGGAAAGGGTCATGCTGCATATCAGTCGATCAGCTGAACACATTTGACATGTTTTCACCGCTCTAGCACGTCTCTATCAAAAGTTATAGCCAAAAAACTGTTTGTGAACGTTCATGATCGGAGATGACCCCAGAGGCACACAGAAGGGTCGCAGGTGCATTTTTTCCGATTCAGTGTGTTATTTTTACCTATGAACTGATGTTTGAGAGGGTTTTGATTTTTGAACGACCTTCGTCCAAAAGAGGCGCATTTCATTTTTCTCCCATTGACTTGTAATGGAGAGGTCGCAAAATTGACCTGACCTTAGGTCACAAATCTATCAAAAGTCTTAGATGAAATTTTAAAAATATTGTTAGTCTTATCAATCTCTGAAAGTTTCAGAAGTGATCGTTCAGTCGGTGTAGCTATAGCGAGCCTTCAAACTTTTTCTGAGGTAAGGTCACTTGACGTGACCTCGTGACCTGACCTTAAACGACCCGGGTCTGAAATTGTATTGTACGGTGGATTGGTGTTAACTGTTACGTTTCACCGATCTCCGTAGGCCCTGACCGTACATATTACCGTAGCTGCGTTTATGATACGGGCCCCACCATACGGCTGCGTCTGCGCATGCGGGAGCCGGGAGGGTAGGCTGACCCGCATATTGCCTGAGGCTCAATGTGGACGAGCGTGTCGTGTGGACTGGTCTGTGGCAGTGACTGACTGGCGAGCGACCAATACAGGTTGACCTCTGAGCACGAGTGGTCTCTACACTGGCGACGAGGATTTGAACCGGCGCGGCGGGGCGACTTCTACGGCCATGGATGGGGCAGCGTCGGCCACCCTGCAGCTGGAGCCATTCAACCCGGCGACGGACTCCTGGAGCCAGTGGGAGGAGCGTCTGCACTACTTCATCGAATGTAACGGCATTCAAGGCGAGAGCAGGAAACGCGCCACGCTGTTGACGGTATGTGGGAAAGAGGCCTTTTCGCTTATTTGTAGCTTGATAGCACCGTCTAAGACGTCTGAGAAGTCGTTTGATGAGCTTTTGCAAGTAATAAGGGAGCACAAAGAACCCAAACCATCTGTCATTGTGTCGCGATTCAAGTTCAACTCGTGTCAACGAACGGCAGGCCAATCCGTTGCTGATTTTGTTTCTGTGCTAAGGAAGGCTACCGAGCACTGCTGTTTTGGAGCCACGCTTGATGACAGACTCACTGAGCAGTTTGTTTGCGGCATCAGGGATCCTCGGATGCAGCGGCGGTTGCTGTCAGAATCCAGGCTGGACTTCAGCTCAGCACAGAGGATCTGCCTGGCGATAGAGGCTTCCAGCAGAGACGCTCACCTGATCTCCGGCACACCGGGTACAGTGCCGGCAGAGGTATGTGAGGTAAGGGCGCAAGGCTTGCCGTCAGGTCAGTCAGCTCGTCCAGGGGCTCGCTGTTGGCGTTGTGGCGGGAGGAGCCACTCACCTGATGTGTGTCGTTTTGCGTCGTACAAGTGTCACAACTGTTCGAAAGCTGGACATTTGGCTAAAATGTGCACAGTCAGAAAGACGACAGTCAGACCTCGGAGGCAGCAGGGCAGAGCAAACGCCGTTGAAGCAGATGAAGAATGGGAGGCGGACTACACGACAGATGTTGGCCGTGCAGAACAGGATGAAGAGATCTGCAGAACGGAAGCGGTCCATCGGGTGAGTGTACCTCCCATTTCTTGTCTGGTTCAGTTTCAAGGTACAGATGTAGATATGGAGATTGACACTGGTTCTAGCGTATCGTTGATTGGGCAGGATACGTTTGAACAGTTGAACAGAAAGCCTAAACTCAAAATGTGCTCATCTCGTTTGAAAACGTATACGGGTCAGTTCATACCATTGTTGGGAGAGTTTCAAACAGACGTGTGGTATGAAGGCAAACAGCACCGTGCCCTGACAGTTGTGGTGGTAAAAGATGCCAGGACTAACCTTCTAGGACGAGACTGGCTGGAGCACATCAACCTCAACTGGCGGGCCGTGCACGCCATTCGAACCAGTTCCTTGCAGGGCCTGAAGGAGAAGTATCGGCGCCTCTTTGAGCCTGGCCTGGGAGAGCTGAAGGGGGTAAAGGTACGTCTGGACATTGACCGTACTGTACCACCGAGGTTCTGCAAGGCCCGCTCTCTGCCCTATGTTTTCAAGGAGAAGGTGGAGGCCCAGCTCCAGAAGGACATCGACAGCGGCGTCCTGGAGGAAGTGCAGAACAGCAGCTGGGCGGCGCCCATTGTTCCGGTGCTGAAGAAGGACGGGAATGTCCGAGTCTGCGGCAACTTTAAGTTGACGGCCAACCGAGCGGTGAGGTTGGACAGATATCCATTGCCACAGGTCCCGGATCTGTTTGCAACGCTAGCGGGAGGTACCGTATTCTCGAAAATTGATCTGGCTTCGGCCTACAATCAGTTAGTTCTTCACGAGGACTCTCGAGACATCATGACCATCAACACCTCACGAGGTCTTCTCAGATTTTCGAGGCTCCCGTTCGGCATCAACAGTTCTGTGGGTATTTTTCAGAGAGAGATTGAAAAGGTTCTCCAGGGCATACCCAACGTCATTGTTTTCCTGGATGACGTTCTGGTGAGTGGAAAGACACAGGCCGAACACCTGACCACGCTGGAGAAGGTGTTTTCTAGGCTTGAAGACGCGGGTCTAAAAGCCAGAGCAGATAAGTGTAAGTTTTTGGTTCAGCAGGTTGAGTACCTGGGTCACGTGGTCAACAGGCATGGAATTTCCCCGACTTCTGAGAAAACTGAAGCGATCAGGTCAGTGCCTGAACCTAGGAACGTATCTGAGCTGAAGAGCTTTCTTGGGTTGTTGACTTACTACTCCAGGTACTTACCAGCGCGCGCTCAGAGGCTGGCTGCGCTGTACGACCTTCTCAAGAAGGACAAGGACTGGGTATGGGGACCAGAACAGCGGAAAAGCTTCCACTGGGCCCAGAGTGTCCTTACCTCGGACTCTGTTCTAGCTCACTTCGATGCGGCGAAGGAGCAAGTGCTGGTCTGTGACGCATCGTCTCGAGGCATTGGAGCGGTACTGGCTCAGCGTGAAGTGGATGGAACTGAGCGTCCTGTCGGGTACGTGTCAAGGAGTCTGACCTCTTCAGAGCAGAAGTATTCTCAGTTGGAAAGGGAAGCTCTCGCGATCGTTTTCGCGGTAGAAAAGTTCAATCAATACTTGCTGGGTAATAAGTTCATACTGGTCACGGATCACAAGCCGCTGGTAGTTTTGTTTGGAGAAAACAAAGACATTCCGGCTATGGCGTCTGCTCGCATTCGTAGGTGGGCATTGAAGTTGTCTGCGTACCAGTATGCCATCCAGTTTAGGCGCACGGAAGACATGGGTAACGCGGACGCCCTCAGCAGGCTTCCCCTGCCAGTTGCAGATGGCTCTGGCCAGGAAGATCTGGTGCTGCTGATTGAGGATGCTGTATTTGATGCTAAGCAAGTAGCACGTTTGACAGCTCGTGACCCCGTTCTTTCCAGAGTAATGAACCTGGTGCAGAAGGGCGGGTGGCCCGAGATAGCTGACCCGGCATTGAAACCGTTTTCAGAGATACGCTGGGAGCTGTCTGTGTGTGCAGGCGTGCTGCTGTGGGGGCACAGGGTCGTGATACCACAGAAGGGCCGCCAGTCTGTGATTTCAGAGCTGCATTCTGCCCATCCAGGGATCGGCCGGATGAAATCACTGGCAAGGAGCTGCGTCTGGTGGCCCCAGATTGACGGTGACCTGGAAATGGCGGTCAGACGATGCTCTGCGTGTCAGGAGAGTCGTCCGACCCCTCATCGGGCTGACCTGAGTATGTGGCCCTGGCCGAGACGCCCATGGTCAAGGGTTCATGTGGATTTTGCGGAACCAATCAAAGGCAAGTACATTTTTGTGGTAGTGGACGCCTTTTCAAAGTGGGTTGAGGCTGAGCCGTGCTCAAGTGTGAGTTCGCAAGCAGCCATGGTCAAATTGCGACGTATGTTTGCAAGATGGGGCTTGCCTGACATGCTCTGCTCTGATAATGCTACGACGTTTACCTCACAGGATTTTCAGCAGTTCCTGGCGGCTAATGGGGTTCAACATAGAACGATAGAGCCACGTCACAGTCAAGGCAACGGGCTAGCAGAGCGGGCAGTTCGTGACGTTAAGCAGGCTCTTAAGCGCAGTGGAGATGGGAACTGGGAGACTGTGTTGGCTAGTGGTGTCAATCGGAACTTGAATCTTCGGAATTCCGATTTTGTCCAATGTCCAATTCGGAATTCGGTTGGATAATGGCAGCAGGCTTTGGACAGCTTTGGACAATCGCTTGCTACACCTCAACATTTTTAAAAAGTAATCGTGTTTAACATTGATTGGCTATTAGAAAGCTCAGCTTTCAATATGATTAACACTTTTGAGCTGGTAACGGTACATGGAAAGCAAATTAAATAACAGTGTTGAGTGTAAACTATTGCGTAGGTGTCGGACATCTTTGGACAAATGGCTGGCTTGGACTTTTTTGGACGGACAGTTGACGTAAGCATTGGACATTGGACGGACTTTGGACATACGTTTTCTGAAATTGACACCACTAGTGTTGGCTGAGTGGTTGCTGTATCAGAGGAAAATCCCTCACTCAACTACGTCTGTGTCACCCTCAGAGCTGATGCTGGGACGAGTGATCCGGAGCCGGCTAGACCTTCTTCATCCTGACCTGCAGAGCCGTGTTCAGCGGAAGCAGCTGCAGCAGAAGCTGAATCATGACCCTGCTGTACCCCGAGTGTTACAGCTGAACATCGGGGATGCGATATATGCTCGCAATTATGGTATGGGACCCACGTGGATATCAGGTGTAGTTGTGGGTATAGATGGATCGCAGTCATATGTGGTCAAATTAGAGGATGGTAGGATCTGGCGTCGTCATCAGGATCAGTTGATGCGGAAAACTGACGCAAACTATCCCGTCACAGGACCTGCTGCTGATGTAGCTGCTCACGAGCAGCTCAGCCCGTCGGAGCAGCTGACGGCCACACCGGCTGCCGAGGCCGTCTGCACTGGTCTGCCCACCGTACCGGAGACGGGGTCGCACCCGGCACCGTTCCCTGACACCGGTGGCTCGCTGACGGCTGCGGCGACGCAGCCGACGGGAGGGTCCTCGACGGGGCCCGGCACGAAGGATCTGCCCGCGATGCCTCTGCCATCTGAGCCAGCTCTTCCGAAGTCTGTGCCTGCATCGGCTACGGAGATGGCTCCGCGAAGATCATCTCGCGTGCGGAAACAAACTGAGTTTTTCCAGGCGTAACGTGTGTTTTCGTTATCTAAACTTATTTGTTAAAGGGAGGAGAGTGTATTGTACGGTGGATTGGTGTTAACTGTTACGTTTCACCGATCTCCGTAGGCCCTGACCGTACATATTACCGTAGCTGCGTTTATGATACGGGCCCCACCATACGGCTGCGTCTGCGCATGCGGGAGCCGGGAGGGTAGGCTGACCCGCATATTGCCTGAGGCTCAATGTGGACGAGCGTGTCGTGTGGACTGGTCTGTGGCAGTGACTGACTGGCGAGCGACCAATACAGGTTGACCTCTGAGCACGAGTGGTCTCTACAGAAATTCTCACAAGATGTGTGAAAAAGATGTATAAACAGATGTACTAAATACGGCTGCGCTGCGCGACACCGTTTTTGAGATATTCGTGAAAAACCTAAGGGGGTGGCGTAAAAACGCCCCCCCCCCCCCCTCGAGCACGGCGCGGGTTAATGGGAGAAAATTGAAATGTTCTTCTTTTGAACGAAAACACCCTCAAATATCGGGATACAGGTAAACATGATACATTTAATCCGAAAATTTCACTCGTTATATGACCAGTTTTATGTTACTGAGCTCATCTCAGTCATGAAAGGTCTCCAGTTAGTTTTGGACAATAGCTTTCGATTGAGATATGGTAGCAGGTAGAGCAATGAAACACCTTATATAATTATTTTCCTTCTCGGCAATACGGATCGACTAATATGCAATATGACCTTTCCCGGTTAGGTGATGACCTTCACCTGAGGTCTAATTCTCGAAACGCCCTTTTAATGTCAAATTCTAGTTCATTTGACTCGTCTCGAAAAATGGATTACGATGCCGGTTAAACTAATCTCGTGCAGGTCTGAGCCAAAAGGTATTACAGATAAACGTCCTCCGCGAAATCGTATATTTTGAGGCTAAAACGTTTACCATATGTCAAATCTGAGATAATTTATAAGAAAGAGCATAAAAAGAGCTATCGAGTGCGCTTTGCTGCGGCGCTGTAGCTCAATCTCTTTCTGAATCCTGACTTATGTGCCACTTTGTCGAAAAATATCAAAATCGGCGAAATTTGATTTTCGGTTGTCTCTGGTGACCTGACCTTCGACCAGTTCCACCTAACCTTAAAAAAATGATCTAAGGCACCACTTGCATTGAGGGGTGGCATGTACGGTGAAGGGGCGGCGTCGCATTGCGGGGCGGTATCGCAACGAGGGGTGGCACTAAAGAGGCTGCCTTATAAGAAACGCTTGGCACATCCTAGCCCAGCTCGGCGCCGCCTGGCTGCTGCATCTTGAAAAGGGCTAGGCGTCAGTGGTTTCATGGGGGGGGGGGGGCGCTATCGATCTTGAATGGGGCGAGACGACTGAAGTCTCAATTCAGATGCGGCATCAGTGACTACAGGGTGTTTCACTAAAAGTGTCAAAAAGTAAATGCTTATTAAAGATATATAAAATATGCAAATCACGTGGTTGCGCATGTGGCTTTGTTGCAAATTTTTGGACATATGCTTTGTCCATTTAAGATGTATTTTACACCCATACGGAGCGAGGGCAGGAGGCCAAAGTTACTAGTCGTTTTTTCCCCCTATACAGACCAAGAACAGGTTATTTACCTACACCTCAACAGGAGGGGTGAATTACACTTACATTTGGTGCCATCAGAAACATTGAAACGGTATGCCGACTTTTCAGGAAACGTTTTACTCTCTCACCTCGCTACGTTCCAGATTATAAAAGTTTAAAATGGCTTCTTAAGAGGTTTAAAAGGGCTCCTTCGATGCCAGTTCCAGTCCAAAAAAAGGCGGGGTCGCCCCCCACCTCTCGGCGGAAACCGTTGAAAAGGTCAGGGTCTTTTTGAGGGCCTTTGAAGATAACAAGAAGCTAATTTCAACATAAGAAATAGCCAAGGCCTTACAAGTTATCAAAAACAACCACTGTGACGGCTGTAGCCACCAGGAACTGGCTGGACCAGAAGTTCCTGGGCCAAATAATCAGCTGCCTCACCGCCCGCCCCCATGGCCAGCGCGAAGCCCCGATCTGTCACCGCTAGACTTCTGGTTTTGGTCAGTGACTCAGTAGCTCTCGCAGAGCTGAGGAAGACTCAAGTCGCATCACTTCGGGAGCTGAAGAGCACAATTCAAGGCTTTGCCGACAGTCTGGACGCTGAATATGAAAACGGGCTATGAGCCATCTCCGGACACGTGCGGAAACGGTGCATCAAAAGAAGGGGCGGATATGTGGAATAGGTTTGAGTGACGGTGATATCGCTGTTATATATTCAAATGTCCAACAATTGCGGATGAAATGATATGCAAATTTCCTTAGAAAACATTGTTCTTATGTGCATTATGACCTTTTACTTTTTGACACTTTTAGTGAAACACCCTGTAGGAGGGCGCCAATGACCTCGGATAGGGCGAATGTGATCTTCAGAAGGATACCGGGTGCTCTAGATGGGTGCAATGCTTGGATGGGGTCACTGCTGCCTCCAGTAGGGCACCGGACGCTCTGGAGGGGCGCCATTGATTTCGGATGGTCCGACTGAAATTTTCAGAGGGGCACCGGTGGTTTCAGAGGGGCGCCATTGATCTGGGATGGGCCGACTGAAGTCCCGGTTCAGGTGCGCCCCAGTGGCTCTTGAGGAGCGCCAGCGACCTCGGATTGATGGGGCGACTGTGATCTTTAGAAGGGCGTTGAAGGCGCCATTGGGATGGATGTTGCCACTGCTGCCTTCAGCAGGGTGCTGGACGCTCTGGAGGGGCGCCTTGAGCTTGGGTGGGGCGACTGTAGTCTCCAGGGGCGTTGTCTCGGATGGGGTGAATGTGATTTTCAGAGGGGCGCCGGGTACTCTAGAAGCGCGCCATTGGTTTCAGAGGGTTGGCCCCCATGCCCCCCCTGTCTACGCCACTGATGGTGCGTTATGTAGGGTCCGTATCAAAGCGTCCAGAACCGCAGCACCCAAACCCCTTTTGGTCATCCATTACCTGTTTGCGTTCGGCAGGGTTACCATCGGCCTCTTCAGGCAGTATTAATATGTACGTTCGATGTAGGTGGTATGGTATCATTAGTGCTGTCCACCTTTATGAAAAAGTATCCGTTTGCTGCAGTATGGCCCCTTTATGTCATTAAGTATGGCAATGAAGTGCTTTTACATGCACGTTGCACGTTAAAGGTGCTGACCGGGGGGGGGGGGGGGAGGGAAAAACCAGCAGTGGAAAAGGTGTTGACCAATGACCGGGGGAGCGTGGACCGTGGTGGTGAAAAGCGGGTCTATGACTTTAGTGATATGACTTATCTCTCCCCCTGGATCCAAGTTCAAGCTTATAAAATAAGGCGTAGGTATATTCCAGCTCAATGTTTTACAACCACATGTCCACATTTATGCAGTGTATGTTCCCGCTCTTTTCAAATGCAAAGTGATGCCACTTAAACAGTATATGTATGCTCTTATACTTAACCCTCGCCCCGCTGGGGGGTCAATTTGCCCCCCCCCCCCTGTGGTTTTTCCTGAATAGCAAGAAAACGGCGGCGCGCAGCGCCGCCAAATGTTTAGTACCTTACCGGGCATCAATTTGACACCTTCACACAAAATTTCAAGTCTTAGGTCACCTTAGGTCAGGAGTTATTGAGGTCAAACTGAGGTCATGTTCGAGCAAAAATAAGCAAAAAACATGAAATCTTGAAACGCTCACAAAAGCTACAGTTATTAAGCACTTTCAAAGTTCTTTATATGGTCATGTATAGAGAAAAGGCTGCGCTACAAAACTGCTATCTCGGATTTTAAAAATTGTGGGATTTAGACCCCCAAAATTCAAAAAGTTTATTTTTTTTAGAAAACGCAAAAAAATCCAAAAGTTTTTTGACTTTCGAACTAACCGGAATATATGTGATATTCCCTGCGCTCTTCTATCTGCATACCAATTTAAGATCGATACCTCTTTTTTGGCCAAATTATAGCGGAAAAACTGTTCAAAATTGATGACGTCACATTTTTGAACTGAATTTTTAGCAATTCTAGACCACCTAGCGCAAAACAAAGACCACCATTAGACTCCCCGTGACGAGCTGCATCGAATCAATACCCATTTTTTGCAAAAATATCAAGTTTGACATTTGACCTTATTTGACGTGATCTTGACCTGACCTTCACCAGAACATGACCTAAACTCAGTGGCGCAGCCAGGATTTCATTTCGGGGGGGTCATCGCCTCCAAAGCGGGCCCCCTAGTGTGCGGGCCCCCCACCCATTTTTCAGAATCTCTCCATAGTTCATACACATTCTGCTGAGCGGGCCCCCTTTACCTGCACGATAACCCTGAGCGAGTTTGAATCAGAACATTTGGATAGAACAATAGCTCGGTAATCACCCGGTGTTCAATTTTTGCGCAAATTGACCACGACAAAAATATGTTCTATGACGTAAAAATTCGTATCTTTCGACGCCGAAATGTGCCCCTTCCGCAATATGCATAGCATATATGCAATCGGAACTGTTGCCTGCTTCCGTCGGACAATATTTAACTAGTCCCATGTGCCTGTTCTAAGTCATCTATTGGCTGCTGTAGTAAATTGTGCCTTTACTCTTCTTCATTAGGGGAAGGAGGGTGAATTGCGCCACCTTAAGGAAAAACGTCAATTGTAAGAAAACCGCTGGAGATATAAGCATGCACTGGTAACCACTTTAAAGAGGAACTCATTAGCTACGATTTAAGAGCCTCCCGATCAATTAAGAATGTTTCGTTTGCTTCCGACAGCTGCTTTTCAGAAACATGCAAAAGGGCGCATTTACCGACAACTGCTGTAAATTGCGCCAGGGGGATGGCGCAATTAGAATCAAATTGCGCCCTATACTTAAACATGGCTAAGCGAATGAGACGGAATGCATACACCCCGGCAGTGTAATGCCATTGCGGCTTACTTAAACATTTATAATGTTAATCAGGCTGGATAAATAATAAATGTAGATATAAATAGCGATGTTTTTTGCCCAGGTAAATAACTTTACATGTGTCCGTATGTTTGTAAAAGTGCAACGAAAACGTTTTATGTAACCGACTAGATATATGTGAAAGCATGGTTAAATTTTCAATCGTTTCTCTCAAAATTATTAATTTTTATCGTTTCGATAACTTGTTGACATCAGTTTTTACTTTTTGATCATAGCTGTCACCTCTCACGCCCGAGTCCATGTTGAAAATGCCGTATTTTGTCAATTACACCACAAGTTGGCAGCCTAAATGGCAGCTGCATTATAAGTTTGACGAGAGAAATAATTTGCGGACTGGCGACAGCGGGCT